GCACAACGTTTCCCTCTGCTACCATCTCATTACATTGAAAGTAACAGAGGTACAATTTAATGACACATCATTTCTCACTGCTACCATCTCATGACAATGAAAGTAACAGATGCGTCATTTGAAGGCACGATGTTTCCCTCTGCTACCATCTCATGACATTTAAAGTAACAGAGGTGCGATTTAAAGACACATCGTTTCACTCTGCTACCATCTCATGACATTGAAATTAACAGATATACGATTTCAAAACACAAAGTTTCCCACTGCTCATAACTTTAAAATCAAGAGATATATGATTTGAAACCCAAAATTCGCTTTGTTACCATGATATTACGTTGAAATTAAAAGATATTCGAATTCAAAACACACCATTTCCCTCTGCTACCGTCTAATGGCATTAAAAGTAATAGATGCGTCATTTAAACGCACAATGTTTCCCTCTGCTACCATCTCATGGCATTTAAAGTAACAGAGGTACGATTTATAGACACAACGTTCCCTCTCCTACCATCTCATGACATTGCAAATAACAGAGGTATGATTTAAAGACACAACGTTAACCTCTTCAACAATCTCATCACATTCAAAATAACATAAATACGATTTAAAAGCACAATGTTTCCTTCTGGAACCATCTCATGACATTGAAAATAACAGAGGTACAATTTAAAGAAACAACGTTTCCCTCTGCTACCATTTCATGGCATTCAAAAAACAGAGATACGATTTAACGACACATCGTTTCCCTGTGCTACTATCACATGACATTAAAAGTAACAGAGGTAAGATTTTAAGACAACGTTTCCTTCTGTTACCATCTGATGACACTAAAAGTAATAGATGCGTCACTTAAAGGCAAAATGTTTCCCTCTGCTACCATTTCATGGCACTTAAAGTGACTGAAGTACGATTTAAAGACACATCAATTCCATGTGCTACCATCACATGACATTATAAATAATTGTATATACTTTAAAGACACATTGTTTCCCTCTGCTACCAATTTATTACATTGATAATAACACAGGTACGATTGAAGGACACAACGTTTCCCTCTGCTACCATCTCATTACATTGATACTAACAGAGGTACGATTTAGTGAAACAATTTTCCCTGTGCTATCAACCGCTACCATCTCATGACACTAAAAGTAATAGATGCGTCATTTAAAGGCACAATGTTTCCCTCTGCTACCATCTCATGGTATTTAAAGTAACAGAGGTACGACTTAAAGACACATCGTTTCCTTCTGCTACCATATCATGACACTAAAAGTAATAGATGCATCATTTAAAGGCACAATGTTTCCCTCTGCTACCATCTCATCGCATTTAAAGTAACATAGGTATGATTTAAAGACACATCGTTTCCCTCTACTACCATCTCATGACACTAAAAGTAATAGATGCGTCATTTAAAGGCACAACGTTTCTCTCTGCTACCATCTCATGACATTGAAAGTAGCAAAGGTAAGAATAAAGAAACAACATTTCCCTCTTTTACCATCTCATGACGTTGAAATTAATAAATCTACGACTTCAAGACACAACGTTTCCCTTTGCTACCATTTCATGGCATTCAAAAAACAGAGGTACGATTTAACGACACCATTTTTTCCTCTGCTACTATCTCATGACATTGAAAGTAACAGATGTAGAATATAGAGACACAACGTTTCCCTATGTTATCACCTCATGACATTGAAAGTAACAGAGATATGACGTCAACACACAATATTTCTCTATATTATTCCGAATATTTCCATGGTTTCCTATGCTACCATCACATGACAATTAATGTAACATTGATATACGATTTAAAGACACATTGTTTCCCTCTGCTACCATCTTATTACATTGATAATAATTTTAATGTCATCAGATGGTAGCAGAGGGAAACGATGTGTCTTTAAATCGTACCTCTGTTACATTAAATGCCATGAGATGGTAGCAGAGGGAAACATTGTGCCTTTAAAGACGCATCTATTACTTTTAGTATCATGAGATGGTAGTAGAGGGAAACGATGTGCCTTTAAATCGTACCTATGTTACTATCAATGTCGTGAGAAGATAGCACAGGGAAACGTTGTTTCATTAAATCGTACCTATGTAACTTTGAATGTAATGAGAAGGTAGCAGAGGGAAACTTTGTGTCTTGAAATGCTATCTCTTTTACTTTTAGTGTCATGGGATGGTAGGAGTAGAAACCATGGAGATATTGGGAATAATATAGGAAAATGTTGTCTTGATATTGTATCTCTGTTACTTTCGATGTCATGAGATGGTAGCAGAGGGAAACGTTGTGTCTTTAAATCGTACCTCTGTTACTGCCAATGTCATCAGGTGGTAGGAGAGGTAAACTTGTGTCTTTAAATCGTACCTATGGTTACACAAATACGATTAAAAGGCACAATGTTTCCTTCTGCTACTATCTCATGACATTGAAAGTAACAGAGGTACGATTTAAAGACAACATTACCCTTTGTTACCATCTCATGACATTGAAAGTAAGAAACGTACGATTTAATGACACAACGTTTCCCTCTGCTACCATCTCATGACATCGAAAGTAACAGAAGTAAGATTTAAAGACAAAATGTTTACGTATGCTACCGTCTCATGACACTGAAAGTAACAAAGCTAAGATTTAAAGACACAGCGTTTCCCACTGTTACTATCTGATGACATTGAAAGTAACAGAAGTAGGATTTAAAAACACAACGTTTCCCTCTGCTACCATCTCATTACATTGAAAGTAACAGAGGTACGATTTAAAGACACATCGTTTCCCTCTGCTACCATCTCATGATACTAAAAGTAATATATGCGTCATTTAAAGGAACAATGTTTCCCTCTGTTACCATCTCATGACATTGAAAGTAACACAGATACAGTATCAAGACAACATTTTCCTATATTATTCCCAATATCTCCATGGTTTCTACTCATACCATCCCATGACACTAAAACTAAAAAAGGTAGCATTTCAAGACAAAAATTTTGTCTTTTCTTCCTTCATATTACGTTGAAATAAACAGATATTCGAATTCAAGACCCACCATTTCTCTTTGTTCCCATCTCATGACATTGGAAGTAAAAGAGGTACGATTTAAAGACATAACGTTTCGCTCTGTTACCATCTCATGCCACTGAAAGTAATAGATGCATGATTTAAAGTCACAACGTTTCCCTGTGCAACCATCTCACGTCATTGAAAGTAATAGAAGTAAGATTTAAAGACAAAATGTTTACGTATGCTACCGTCTCATGACACTGAAAGTAACAGAGGTAAGATTTAATGAAACAACGTTTCCCTGTGCTATCATCTCATAACATTGATAGTATCAGAGGTACGAATTAAAGACACATCGTTTCCCTCTGCTACCATCTCATGATACTAAAAGTAATAGATGCGTCTTTAAAGGCACAATGTTTCCCTCTGCTACCACCTCATGGCATTTAATGTAACAGAGGTAAGATTTAATGAAACAACGTTTCCCTGTGCTATCATCTCATAACATTGATAGTAACTGAGGTACGATTTAAAGACACATCGTTTCCCTCTGCTACCATCTCATGACACTGAAAGTAATAGATGCGCCATTTCAAGGCACAATGTTTCCCTCTGCAACCATCTCTTCACATTCAAAGTAATACAAATACGATTTAAAGGCACAATGTTTCCTCCTGCTACCAACTCATGACATTGAAAGTAACAGAGGTACGATTTAAAGACAACGTTTCCCTCTGTTACCATCTCATGACATTGAAAGTAAGAAAGGTACGATTTAAAAACACTACGTTTCCCTGTGCTACCATCTCATGACATTGAAATTAACAGATATACGATTTCAAGACACAAAGTTTCCCACTGCTCATAACTTTAAACTCAAGAGATATACGATTTAAAAACCCAACATTCTTTTTGCTACTGTCTCATGACACTGAAAGTACCAAAGGTACGATTTAAAGACACAGTGTTTCCCTCTGCTACTATCTCATGACATTAAAATTAACAGAGCTACGATTTAAAGGCACAACGTTTCCTTCTGCTACCATCTCATGACATTGAAAGTAACAGAGATACAAATTCAAGACACAGTATTTCCCTATATTATTCCCAATATTTCCATTGTTTCTACTCCTTCCAACCAATGATACTAAAAGTAAAAAAGCTAGCATTTCAAGACACAAATTTTCATTTTCCTACCACCATATTCAGTTGAAATTAACAGATATACGAATTGAAGAACCACCATTTCTCTTTGATACCATCTCATGACGTTGAAATTAACAGATATATAATTTCAAGACACAATGTTTCCCTCTGCTACCATCTCATGCCATTGAAAGTAACAGAGGTATCAATTAAAGACAACGTTTATCTCTGCTACCATCTCATGCCATTGAAAGTAACAGAGGTATCAATTAAATACAACGTTTATCTCTGCTACCATCTCATGGCATTGAACATCATAGATGCATCATTTAAAGGCACAACGTTTCCCTCTGCTACCATCTCATGGCATTGCAAATAACAGAGGTACGATTCTTCGACACATCGTTTACCTTTGCTACCATCTCATGACATTAAAAGTAATAGAGGTACAATTTAAAGACACAACGTTTCCCTCTTCTACCATCTAATGACATAGAAAGTAATAGATGCATGCTTTAAAGAAAGAAAGTTTCCCTCTGCTACCATCTCATGACACTGAAAGTAATAAAAGTACGATTTTAAGACGCAACGTTTCCCTCTGCTACCATCTCATGACATTGAAAGTAACAGAGGTACGATTTAAATTCACAACGTTTCCCTCTGCTACCATCTAATGATATTGGAAGTAACAGAGGTACGATTTAAAGAGACAACGTTTCCTTCTGTTACCATCTGATTGCATTCAAATTGACAGAGTTATGCTTGTTTACGTTTGTGACAGATCTCATTGTAATTTTTTGTATTTTGATTTAATGAACTGTAAGACATCAAAGCATAATGTCTACTCAGGAGATACTGAAACCAATATTAAGAAATATCCAGTAAAGCAGCAACATACCAACGCCAAGTGGGCCACCAAATTAGTTAGTTCAGTTATCTTGCCGTTCAAAAGCTTGTTTCCCATCATCATTACTGTAACTGGTTCTCCACAAAGCAAATACAAGGTTGCCACATTTTCAAATAACCACTCTTCTGGGATCTCTGTGAAATAATAATTCTATGTGTCACGTTTTTTTTTTTAGTATCGGGAGGAAAGAGAGAAGCAAGAAACTTTTGTTTCATATACTAATTTGCAACAAGTTCTATATTTTTATTGAACATCTTTTATAGAAATAGAACTTTATTTTATATTTGACTCAACAACATGTAATTGCCTTTATAACGGAATATAAAGCAGATGAATACAAACACAGTTTAATTGTAGCATGTTGGCTCATGTGTATGAGGGTGTTAAGTCAATTTTCTATTTGTATGAATAACATTAAAACAACATAACGTTGATAACTACAGACAAACATAGATTCACAGCAACACGTCGATTTACCTGCCAACTCCTCTAAAATTGATATAATGTCGTCATCACTCCAGTCTTTGCTGTATCTCTGTAACAACTTTATTGCTTGAGCTAGCTCCAAGAGATTAACTTTAGCTTCGTTCTGATTGGCTGGTAGATAGTCTGAGAGTTCCCACCACTGTAGTTTGTCTAATGGCAAATATTATAATTAATAACTTTTAACACAAATATATCAGTTAGCATATTTCCTACTAAAAATTTGGATAAACAAGAGATCGCTATCATCTCTCAACACTGCACCTGTAGTCTTTATTTCCGGAAACTTCGCTTCAAAATTTCGAAAGTAATTAACAAGTATATATGTTTATAAAGCACCCACCTTCTTGTTATAATACAAAGTGTCAAGTAACATCAGTAATTATTATTTTCATTGTAACATCATGTTGAGAAGTTATTTCACGCTACATTTTTACAACATTACAGCTCTCACACATAAGAGCTAACATGGTCAACATTATTAAATACATAATAAGCATACTTGAAGGGGTCACTACTCGAAGTTAAAGGAGCGGAAACACGAATTCACAATAAATTTAATAAATCAAGAAATTTTTATACCATAAACTAACTACTTCATGAGCATTAACGAAATGATTAAATATTGTAATAATTAGTTACGTAGAGACAAATGTAAAACATTAAAGTGTATTTACACAATTTTTACAATATTTTCTATAATTTTCTAGATGAGTTGACCATGGGCTGTAAGATTTGACAAATCACCTAAACATTTCAAAGTCATTTTTAGTAAGCTCAACAATAATTTTCTTTCTTTCAGTCGGGAGTGGCCAGTGGTCAGAGTGTTGGTCTGAAGACAACAAGCTCTGAAAGTTTTTATCTTTCCCCTTTAGGCCGGGCATGACCAATATCAGGATATTTGGCTATTGATAGTACGATTTACAAGTGTTTCTCTTTTCTTTTTAGGTCGAGCATGAACAGTACTTAGTGTGTATGGTAACGGACAGCAGGCCGTATTAGAGCTTTTTTTTGCTTTATTTTTACTCTTTGGGTCAAGTGGCCAGTGTTAAACGTATTTTGCTATGGGCAGCAGAATCTGAAAGACTTTTTTTTCCTTCTAGGGCCAGGCGTGGCCAGTGTTTAGTATGTTTTGCTACGGGAAGCAGGCTCTGAAAGAGTATTTGTTTTCCTTGTAGTGAAAGGCGTGGCCAGTGTTTCGTGTGTTTTTGATATACGGTTATCTAGTCACTAACTTCACATGCATACTTCTTTCATTTCATTCATAGCTCATGTATTGTGACAATCTTTATGCCTTTGTCTAGTGACTAACTTCACATGCATACTTCTTTCATTTCATTCATTGCTCCTGTATTGTAATAATCTTTATGCCTTTGTCTAGTGACTAACTTCACATCCATACTTGTTTCATTTAGTTCATAGCTCCTGTATTGTAATAATCTTTATGCCTTTGTCTAGTGACTAACTTCACATCCGTACTTGTTTCATTTCATTCATAGCTCCTGTATTGTAACAATCTTTATGCCTTTGTCTAGTGACTAACTTCACATCCATACTTGTTTCATTTCATTCATAGCTCCTGTATTGTAATAATCTTTATGCCTTTGTCTAGTGACTAACTTCACATCCATACTTGTTTCATTTCATTCTACTTCTTTCATTTCATTCATAGCTCCTGTATTGTAACAATATTTATGCCTTTGTCTTGTGACTAACTTCACATCCATACTTGTTTCATTTAGTTCATAGCTCCTGTATTGTAACAATCTTTATGCCTTTGTCTAGTGACTAACTTCACATCCATACTTCTTTCATTTCATTCATAGCTCCTGTATTCATTGTAACAATCTTTATGCTTTTGTCTAGTGACTAACTTCACATCCATACTTGTTTCATTTAGTTCATAGCTCCTTTCCACTTTTCCGTTATATTGTTGTAGCTGTATTTTGTTTTCAGATACTGTACCTTAAAATTAGTGACATTTAACATGTGACGTTCATAGACCCTTGATAAAGGCGTAAGCCGAAATGTCTGGCACAAGTAATTAAACATTTTTTACTTAAATTTTTTGTTGTCTTCATTATATAATGTTTTCTATCCTTCAGTCACCACTGAAATTTTTTAAAACAAGTGAAAATGTTGAATTAATTAACCTGGAACATAATCTTAGATAAAAGTCAGGTCAGAGAATTTAGTCTTCCCATAAATCAAGTACACAAACTGTGTTCATATTTAGTGCTGTCATAAAGATTGCTCACTTTCCATTTCCAGTCTCATTATTCTATGTAAAATTTCGACCCCTAGCAGTCTCATTATTCTATGTAACATTACGACCCATGGCAGTCTCATTATTCTATGTAAAAGTACGGCCCATGGCAGTCTCATTATTATATGTAACATTACGACCCATGGCAGTCTCATTATTATATGTAAAATTACGACCCATGGCAGTCTCATTATTCTAGGTAAAATTACGACCCATGGCAGTCATTATTATATGTAAAATTACGACCCATGGCAGTCTCATTATTATATGAAACATTACGACCCACGGCAGTCTCATTATTATATGAAACATTACGACCCACGGCAGTCTCATTATTCTATGTTAAATTACGACCCAGAGCAGTCTCATTATTCTATGTAACATTACGACCCATGGCAGTCTCATTATTATATGAAACATTACGACCCACGGCAGTCTCATTATTCTTTCTTACATTACAACCCATGGCAGTTTCTTTACTTTATGTAACATTACGACCCATGGCAGTCTCATTATTTTATGTAACATTACGACCCATGGCAGTCTCATTATTTTATGTAACATTACGACCCAGGGTACCTTAAACACTTACCATTTCTTGCTGGTCCGTAGAGCAGACACAAGAGCTTAGCCTGATGTACAAGTGGCCATGGTTTCAATATTCTTGTCAACCAGAACGCTTTATCTCTGGGTGTGAGGCTAAAGTCCAGGTAAATAGAGCGATAGTACTGCCTTATAAATTGTTCCTCCACTGGCACGGACCCTGGAATATAAATAATGTATTGCATACCTCCAGTAACGAATTGATAGTGATAAGTAGTTTCTCCAAACATTTAAAATATTTTTATTAAATTACTTTTATTATTCTGAGCTAAAAGATTCTTCCACTAAACTCTCAAGGCGGCATATTTACCAGGAGATGCTCGTAGAACACTCTGAACGTGTTTCGTCATCTGCCTGAACGACTGCAGAAAACTGTAGACCACGTGACATTCACTTTCGTCCCATCCTGCAATAACTGTATGTATGAGCCGACCACAGCATCTCAACCAGGAACCCTGAAACTTGGAATTCACAGCAAGTTGTTCCAGCTGGGAGAGAAGGACGAAAATAAATTACCGTCTTCTAGCCGAACCCCATTAACCATTATTAACTGGTTTTGTCACTTATCACTGAAAGATTTGGTTAAGCTGTCTAAAGCCTTCCTTCTATTTGTGGAAATGGATTTCAACTAGCTTTAAATCTGTTTAACTATAAGCAGTGAAGTTTAACATGTCTAGTTATATATATATTAACTTCTCTATGAGGCTGGTTCCTCATATTACTTAACATTTACTAAAAGTGTGTATCTTATTGAGTCTTCCTGCGGTATATTTTAAGTTAAATAATACATTCATACGAATGTTTAAATTGAAGAAATTTAATGCCAACATTGACAGTTCGTAATGGTAACTACTCTTTTGACTAAAATAAAATTCATTGATGCCATCTGGCGGTAACTTATTCTTAAAACGTTTGATGTAGAAGCACAATGATCCAAGAGCTTAATGAAGTTTGTTGTGTCAATTGTGTTTTGTAAACAATAAGACCAAGTTAACGAAAATGTAAATAATTTTCACTTTGAAGAAAGAATTATTTTTGTATGAAAGAAAGATGTTGCTTCATACCAGTATTATATATATATATATATATATACTTCCACAGAGGCGTAGGAACCCACTTTTACAGATTTCACTCATATAACAACTGTAAATTATTAATTTTCTAGGGGACAAGTGCCCAGAACCCCCCCCCCCTAGACTGAGCTGCCTTGGTAGCACGGGAACTGCTATCAGGAACTTCTTATACTTTCAATCTCTCATTGTAAAATCTGCATGTCTAGCCCAGTACCCCATTTTTCAACTCCTTCCTACACCACTGTTCCAAAACCTAATAACAATAACAACTATTGGCTACACATCCTTGTTTATTTCGGTAGTACGTAGACTGGATCATGGAGACATCCTTGGAATTATGAAACATAATTAGATCAGTTTCTAAAACTTTCTGCTTTAATGACAAAACTACACATGTCATATTTTATAACATATCAGCAAAATTTAGAGTTTATATATAATCACATATAATCAATGAGAACTCCTTTGATCCATGTAAATTGCTCTACATTTTTTGTTATTACTTAATCACAACTTGAAATGCACACAAAGTCAAAATTACCGACTGTATAAATTCAATTACAATACGAAGTCTCTCTTTGGTTGGGTACAAGCAGGTTGACCTTTTCATTAGGAGCCCTAAAATACAGAAAATAAATCTGTAATTATAGTATGTATGCGGAGACATAAATATTATAATAAGTAGGCATTTAGTACGTTCCATCAATAAAACTCTTCATTATGCTTATAAATCGTTCGTTGCCTACCTATAGTTATATTCAATTTTAATAAACTAAACGTTTTATGATAAGCACTAGCGGACTACAAGATAATACGTTCTTTAATGTTAATACATTGGACATTTTATGATAAGCACTAGCGGACTACAAGATAATACGTTCTTTAATGTTAATACACTGGACATTTTATGATAAGCACTAGCGGATCACAAGGTAATACTATTTTTAATGTTAATACACTGGACATTTTATGATAAGCAGTAGTGGACTACAAGGTAATACCATCTTTAATATTAATACACTGGACACTTTATGATAAGAAGTAGTGGACTACAAAGTAATACTATCCTTAATGTTAATACACTGGACATTTTATGATAAGCACTAGCGAACTACAAGGTAATACCATCTATAATGCTAAAACACTGGATATTTTGTTATAAATACTGGAGATATAGAAGGTAATACCATCTTGAACCTTAATACACTGGACATTATCTGATAAAAACTGGAAAAATAAAGATAATATTATATTTAATTTTAATACACTAAACATTTTGTTACAAGTAGTGGAGAGGCGAAAGACAAAACCATATTTAATCTTAACACACTGTACATTTTGTTATAGGTACTGGAGAGACGGAAGGTAATACCATTTTAATCATATTACATTGGACATTTTTCACAAGGACTGGAGAGACGGAGAAAATACCATCTTTAATCTTAATATACTGGACATTTTGTTAATAAGGACTGCAGAAAGTAAAGATAATACTACCTTTAATATTAATATCTTAAAACATTTTGTTAATAAGGACTGGAGAGACAGAAGGTAATATTATCTTTAATCTTAATACACTGGACATTTTCTTAATAAGGACTGGAGAGACGTAAGGTAATACCATCTTTAATTTTAATACACTGTACATTTTATTATAAATACTGGGGAAACGAAAGATAATACTACCTTTAATTTTAATATACCGAACATTTTGTTAATAAGTACTGAAGAGTAGAAGGTAATACGATCTTTAATCTTAATTCACTTGACATTATGTGATAAGTACTGGAGGGACGGAAGATAATACAATCTTCAATCTTAATACACTGAATATTTTCTTAATAAGTACTGGAGAAATGAAAGAAAATACTACCTTTGATATTAATACCCTGGACATTTTGTTAATAAGGACTGGAGAGACGGAAGGTAATATTATCTTTAATCTTAATACCCTGGACATTTTGTTAATAAGGACTGGAGAGACGGAAGGTAATACCATCTTTAATCTTAACACATTTTACATATCGTTTATAAGTACTGGCAACAAGGAAGGTAATATCATCTTCAATCATAATACTCTGGACATTTCTTATAAGAACTGAAGAAAAAGAAGATAATATCATCTTTAATCTTAATACACTGGACATTTTGTTAATAAGTACTGGAGAGACGAAAGGAAATACGATCTGTAATCTTAATACACTGAAAAGTTTCGTATATAAGTACTGGTAAAACGAAAGGTAATACGATCTTTAATCTTAATACACTTGACATTATGTGATAAAAACTGAAAAAAAAGGAAGATAATACTATATCTAATTTTAATACACTAAACATTTTATTATTAGTAATGGAGAAATGGAAATTAATATTATCTTGAATCTTAATACACTAGATATTTTGTTACAAGCACTGGCAAGACGAAAGACAATACCATCTTTAATCTTAATACATTGTAAATGTTTTCATAACTACTGGAGAGACGGAAGGTAATGCCATCTTTAATCTTAATTCACTGGATAGTTTGTTATAAGCACTAGAGAGACGGAAGGTAATATCATCTTTAATCTTAATACACTGGACATTTTGTTATAACTACCAGAGAGACGAAAAATAATACTACTTTTAATATTAACACCTTGGACATTTTGTTAATAAGGACTAAAGAGACGGAAGATAAACCCATCTTTAATTTTAATACACTGGAGATTTTGTTATTAGTACAGGAGAAACGGAAGATAATACCATCATTAATCTTAATTCACTTGACATTATGTGATAAGTATTGGAGAGACAGAAGATAATATAATCTTCAGTCTTAATACACTGAACATATTGTTATAATTACTGGAGAGACGGAAGGTAATACCATCTTTAATATTAATACACTGGACATTTTGTTATAAGTAGTAGAGAGACGGAAGATAATACCATCATTAATCTTAACACACTGTATATTTCGTTTATAAGTACTTGAAACACGGAAGGTAATACCATCTTCAATCACAATACACTGGACATTTTTATAAGTACTGGAGAGACAGAAGATAATATCAGCTTAGATCTTAATACACTGGAAATATTGTTAATAAGTACTGGAGAGACAGAAGGTAATACTATCTATAATTTTAACACTGTACAATTTGTTTATAAGTACTGTAGATACGAAAGGTAATATGATCTTTAATCTTAATACACTGAACATTTCGTTAATAAGTACTGGAGAAACGGAAAGTACTACCATTTATAATTTTAACACACTGGTCATTTTGTTAATAAGTACTGCAGAGACGGAAGGTAATACGATCTTTAATCTTAATATACTGGACATTTCGTTAATAAGTATTGGAGAAACAGAAAGTAATACCATCTATAATTTTAACACACTGGACATTTTGTTGATAAGTACTGGAGACACGAATGATGATACTATCATTAATACTAGTACATTGGACAATTTATTATAGGTACTGGAGAGTGCAAAGGTAATATGATCTTTAATCTTAATACACTAGTTATTTTGTTGTAAGTACTGGAGAGACGAAAGATCATACCATATTTAATCTTAACACACTGTACATTTTGTTATAAGTATGGGAGAGACGGAAGGTAATACCAGCTTAATCATACTACATTGGACGTTTTGTTATAAGTATTGAAGAGACGGAAGGTAATACCATCTTTAATCTTAACACATTGTACATTTTGTTATAAGTACTGGAGAGACGAAGGTACTACCAGCTTAATCATACTACAATGGACAGTTTGTTATAAGTATTGGAGAGACGGAAGGTAATACCATCTTTAATCTTAACACACTGTATATTTTGTTATAAGTACTGGAGAGACGGAAGGTAATATCATCTATAATGTTAATATATATGGCATTTTGTCATACGTACTGAAAAGACGAAAGATAATACTATCTTTAATCTTAACACACTGTACATTTTGTTATAAGTACTGGAGAGACGAAGGTGATACCAGCTTAATCATACTACATTGGACAATTTATTATAGGTACTGGAGAGTGCAAAGGTAATATGATCTTTAATCTTAATACACTGGACATTTTGTTAATAAGGACTAGAGAGATAGAAGGTAATACCATCTTTAATATTAATACACTAGACATTTTATTATAAGTAGTGGAGAGACGGAAGGTAATATCATCTTTAATCTTAACACACTGTACATTTCGTTTATAAGTACTTGCAACACGGAAGGTAATACCATCTTCAATCACAATACACTGGACATTTTTATAAGTACTGGATAGAGAGAAGATAATATCATCTTGAATCTTAATACACTGGACATTTTGTTAAAAAGTACTGGAGAGACGGGGGGTAATACCATCTATAATTTTAATACACAGTACAATGTGTTTATAAGTACTGTAGAGACGGAAGGTAACTGATCTTTATCTTCATACACTGGACATTTCGAAGTGTTGCAGTACTTATAATAAATTGTCCAATGTACTAGTATTAGAGGTAGTATCATCATTCGTCTCTCCAGTACTTATTAACAAAATGTTCAGTGTATTAGGATTAAATATCGTATTACCTTCCGTGTTGCCAGTTCTTATATACGAAATGTCCAGTGTATAAAAGTAAATATAGTATTATCTTCCTTTTTTCCAATTTTTATCACATAATGTCCATTGTATTAAGATAAAGATCGTATTACCTTCCGCGTTACCAGTACTTATAGGAAGGTAATACGACATTTAATCCTAATACACTGGACATTTCGTTTATGAGTGCTGGCAATACGGGAGGTAATACCATCTATAATCTTAATACACTAGACATTTTGTTATAAGTACTGGAGAGACGAAAGATAATACTACTTTTAATATTAACACCCTGGACATTTTGTTAATAAGGACTAGAGAGGCGAAAGATAAAACCATCTTTAATCTTAATACATTGGCCATTTTGTTATAAGTACAGGAGAAACGGAAGGTAACGCCATTGTTAATCTTAATACACTTGACATTTTGTTATAAATACTGGCGAGACGGAAGGGAATATTATCTTTAATCTTAAAACACTGGATATTTTGTTGTAAGTACTGGAGAGACGAAAGATCATACCATATTTAATCTTAACACACTGTACATTTTGTTATAAGTATGGGAGAGACGGAAGGTAATACCATCTTTAATCTCAACACACTGTACATATTGTTATAAGCACTGGCAAGACGAAAGATAACACCATCTTTAATCTTAATACGTTGGACATTCTCTTATAAGTACAGGAGAAACGGAAGGTAACGCCATCTTTAATCTTAATACACTTAACATTTTGCTATAAGTACAGGAGAAACGGAAGGTAACACCGTCTTTAATCTTAGTACGCTTAACATTTTGTTATAAGTACAGGAGAGACGGAAGGTAAAACCACCTGTAATCTTAATATACTGAACATTTTGTTATAAGTACTGGCAACACGGAAGGTAATGCCATCTTTAATATTAATACACAAGGCATTTTGTTATAAGTAGTTGAGAGACGGAAGGTAATACAATATTTAATCTTAACACACTGTACATTTGGTTTATAAGTACTTGCAACACGGAAGGTAATACCATCTTCAATCACAATACACTGGACATTTTTATAAGTACTGGATAGACAGAAAATAATATCATCTTGAATCTTAATACACTGGACATTTTGTTACTAAGTACTGGAGAGACGGAAGGTAATACCATCAATGATTTTAACACAGTGTACAATTTGTTTATAAGTACTGTAGAGACGGAAGGTAATACGATCTTTAATCTTAACACACAGGACATTTCGTATAAAAGTACTGGCAACACGGAAGGTAATACGATCTTTAATCTTAATACAATGGACATTATGTGATAAAAACTGGAAAAAAAGGAAGATAATACTATATTTACTTTTAATACACTGGCTATTTTGTTGATAAGTACTGGAGAGACGGAAGGTAATACCATCTATAATTTTATCACACTGTAAAATTTGTTTATAGGTACTGTAGTGACGGAAGGTAATACGATCTTTAATCTTAATACACTGGACATTTCGTTAATAAGTACTGGAGAGACGGAAAGTAATACCATCTATAATTTTAACACACTGGACATTTTGTTAATAAGTACAGGGGTTAGGGAAGTTAATACGATCTTTATTCTTAATACACTGGACATTTTGTTAATAAGGACTGGAGAGATAGAAAGTAATATCATCTTTAATATTAATACACAAGACATTTTGTTATAAGTACTGGAGATACGAAAGGTAATACTACTTTTAATATTAACACCCTATACAATTTGTTAATAAGGACTAGAGAGGCGGAAGATAAAACCATCTTTAATCTTAATACATTGGACATTTTGTTATAAGTACAGGAGAAACGGAAGGTAACGCCATTGTTAATCTTAATACACTTAACATTTTGTTATAAATACTGCAGAGACGGAAGGAAATATTATTTTTAATCTTAATACAATTGACATTTTGTTATAAGTACAGGAGAAACGGAAGGTAAAACGAAGGTAGTATCAGCTTAATCATACTACATTGGACATTTTGTTATAAGTATTCGAGAGACGGGAGTTAATACCATCTTTAATCTTAACACACTGTACATTTTGTTATAAGTACTGGAGAGACGAAAGATAATACTACTTTTAGTATTAACACTGGACAATTCGTTAATAAGTACAAGAGAGGCGAAAGATAAAACCATCTTTAATGTTAATACATTGGACATTGGGGTTAATTAGTACTTCAGAGACGGAAGGTTGTATGATCTTTAAGACAGAAGATAAAACAATCCATAATGTTAATACACTGGAGATTTTGTTATAAGTACTGTCAACACGGAAGGTAATACGATATTTAATCTTAATACACTAAACATATTGTTATAAGTAATGGAGAAATGGAAAGTAATATTATATTTAATCTTAATACACTGGACATTTTGTTATAAGTACTGGCAAGACGAAAGATAATACCATCTTTAATCTTAATACACTGGACATTTTGTTATAAGTACTGGAGAAATGGAAAGTAATATTATATTTAATCTTAATACACTGGACATTTTG